CAGCGGTTGGTCGCAGCCTTCGGTTGTGTTCCACTTAAACTGGGAACTTGAGGAACCGAGAGTGAAATATGAACACCGGGTACATCACGTAATGGTTTCGTTGATGGCCGATGAAATAACACAGGAATATTCGCATTTGTGGCAGCACACAAATCATTACTTTGCTCACAGATTTTTCGAGCCTCAGCAAAGGTGATGTCTTTCTTTTCCAACATCTTACGTTGTAATGAGATGTTGTTGATTCCAATAGTGAGGAGATCACAAAGTTGTTCTTCCAGTCGATCACCATAGTTGCATTTTGACGCCTGTTTGTTCAACTGAAGAATGAATTCACAGCACGGCATGTTGGCAGCTCTAATCATTGAGTTAAATTTGGCCCGTTCAGTGGCCTGAAAATCCACTGGGTGAATGTAGTCCAGCAATAGGGATTTCAACTTCTCGAACGGCAATTCAGCAGGAACATTCGGGAACGCTAAATTCTTCACCAGGGAATAAAGCTCTCGGTCGCCCAACGTCAAAAATAGGACCGATTGATTTTGCATTCCTCCTTTTCGGATTCTACATCATAATTTGAAACGTTCTACCCACTCTTCGATTTCCGATCGGCTTTCCGTGGAGGTTCAATGGTTCAACGGCAAGAATCTCGATTGCACGACGCCAAATTGTGATAATCGGAATGATACTGAATGGAGAAATACGAGAACCCGTAATGTACTGCTCAGTACTGGATTGACTCCAACCCGAGCTGCGGACGCCAATGTAATACACGAGGAATTGATAGCAGCAAATGCTTATGTTTATTGATGGAACTAGATCATGTTTTATCGAAGGTGATAGGCCATATGATTGGTTGAAGGACCGACGTCCAATCACGTAACCGTTTGCGTCAACGCATCATATATACTAACTCCGATGTCATGTTCTCCCGGTGTACCATTGGTCGAGCTTTCTGAATGGTGATTGGATGACATGAAACTGTACCTGGTCGTGCATGGATTGCGGTCACGGAAGTCTGGATCACCACAGTGTAGTAAACCAGAACGGGGTATACGGAATACGTGTCCTAACCAGTGAAGTCTACTAATCTGAATTCGATGAGCTAGCAAATTTATCCCCGATAAACTCCCAAAAAGACGACACTTACCTCTAGATTATCTACCGATTTTGTTCACTCAATGTGAGCAAAACTGCGTAAACACCGGTAGTCGAAAACTTCCAGTCGATGGATATCTTCGACTCGTAAATTTAAGGTCCCACAACCATAAAGCAAAACTAGACAAACGGTAATGTAATACACACGACATTTCCACTTCAGTGAAAGGTCGCGACTATGCTACAGGTGTTTCAGTCCTACTTATACCGCTCTAGCCTTGAAACTCCTTTATTGCGCTTCCTCATTGGTTACAATTAAGAAAGAAAAGGAGTCCACCGTAACTAATTTCTGAACATTAGGCATCACGACCGGAGTAAACGGCATTCAGTTTTGCAGCATCATTTCGTACTTCAGAGGTGCAAAACACATACCAAACGGCGTAACAGCACTTGTTAGTCTAGCAAGTGAGCTTTGCGCGTCCTCCGTAAATTTCTACAGACAGAAAATGTCCTCACCTTCTATAAGTTACACAGCTTTTCCTCAACTGCCCATTCAATATTATCCTTTGCAGACCACTTAGTGCGTTCTCCAGCATTTCGTCTACGACGAAATTGATCAAAAATGGCAAAATATAGCACCGTTGGTGAAGGCCGCCGATGATGACCAGTGACCAGATAGCTACGGTGTGTGCGTGTGTGCGAAAATAATGCTTAGGAACCAGCGATCATCTTTTGTGTCTGTGCTACCAATTTTATTTGCCCTATCTGCTAGGCAGAATACTAAATTTCTGTTCCCTTTGACCGGTACAAATCTGGATGCGTTTGCACTTCACAATCGTCTTCCTATCGTCGCACCGAGCCATCCGATTTACAACCCATGTAGACGTCCAAACATACCAGCTAGTTGTTGGTTCCACTTCTAGAACGAATCGTATATTCTGTGTTGTAGCTCGCTGGCTCCAGATTTCGTGGTAACCACGCGAATAATATCCTCCATATCATGTGTATAGCGCACAATATTGAACAAACTATTTGAGTTAGTTAGTTTGGAGTTTAATGATAAACGCACCAGAAAACAACGGTCCGGAAAGTGGTCTCATGGTGACACCACCCTTTTGGGATAAATCTGCCAGTTCGAATTAAATTGGACATCGTGCAAGCAAAACTAGAGGAGTTTTTCAAGTTTCAAGTATTGTTGATTGCACAAAGGTGTGCGGATAATATATAGTTTCTTTGAGATGAACATTGGCGACGAGTGAGCCAGCGTCCAGTGAGATTACTTTTTGACCGGTCACGTTTGATTCGTGAACACTGTTCTGATTGTAGTACGTCGGTCTTAAACCAAGTCAGATGAAACAGCTTCAATTTCAAGTAAGATAAATACACGAATTGCCGACCGGACGGAAGAAATGACGGGTTATTTTGTGCTTAATGTTACCACTTAGTAAATACTGAGGTAACGGGACTGAGAACGATTAAGCAAAAGATGAAAACATCACAAAAGACAAGAACACAATAAGAAATTGGAGTTTAAAATGTAATTAATCCGTTTTGCAGCCATCTGATTTCTAGAAATATTTGTAATGATAAAAAATAGTACTGAATAGCTGTTTTGACCCTTTTGTGAATCACCGGCAGTACGACGTATTGTGACCCTGACAGGACTGTAACCGTGGACCTTCGGGGTGGGACTCAGCACTCTTTCCACTAAGCCATTTATTAGTGCGAACGACGCAGTCANCGCAGTCAATTTAAACGATAAATGTTTGGATGGGGACTCAATGATCTTTTAAGGAGTGAAATCCACATCCACATTCATCAAAAGTGCTGAGTGCTTGTTAAGCGCTGAATGGCTGATCTAAGCGTCCGCCGTTTATTTGAATTACATTTCTTTTTAGGGTTGTATTGAGTTTTTTCTTTGATGCTATGACTGATCCAGATGATATTTTAGGTTATTCGATATTCACATTTTTTATTGATAGTGTATACGGTGTGTCGAAATCATCTACAAAGCAAACGTTAGGGTGGAGGAGTCCAGAACACTGAGTCGTTTCGAGTGCNGGTCAAATACCGAAACTATAATGTTTATGTATCAACATCTAACGAGTCACGTTCCGATGGTAAACCGATCAATGTGCAGCATTCCGGGTTTGTGATTAGAAAAGCGTATTCAAATTGATAGGTATATGACAGAGTACAAAGTGTAAAGAAGTTTGTAACTCAGCTCGTCTTTTGTGCCGAAACAGAGAGAAATGTTTTCTTATGAGACAAAATTAGTGACAGCAACAACTGGCTCACACCCACAGCGAGTTGTTGGGGAGGCGATGATCGGATATGACTTTTTCACAATTGATGTATTTATCATTATGCGAAAAACAATGCGGTGATTTGACAGCTGAGCAGTGGCGGTCTCCAAGCAAATGTCAGTGTCGGTCGCTAGTAGTTCCACCGGCACGACAGTGCTGTTATTGCTGTCTTGGCTCTGCCACAATCATTGATCAGGTCACTTTTATGCTGCTAATTATCAAGAATAGTGTGTAGCCTTTGAATGCTTGTCATGTGATCTGATTATTGCTCAAATTGAAGTAATTATGGATTATCGATTATGGGTTCGATTCCCAGTGGGGTCGATGGATTCGCACTGCTGATGAAACCCAAGCACGTTGAAACAACTTTTCAGCTCACGCCTCATTTACACTACTAATTTATCATATAAATTATGGATTAAAGGGAAAGGAGATTCCTAGATTGCAGTTCATTTCATCGATCAGATTTTTGCCTCATAGTTGTATTTTTCGCATTACGCAATAACCATTCTTCTTAGCAATGCGTATAACTGTAGTTGAATATCTTTGAGGTCACGATAATCCTTGTAAACTCGAAGCTTCAGTTAAAACATTATTGGAAGTTTGTAGTCAGTTGACAAAGGTTTTAAGTTTATTTGGACATGAATAATTGAAGTTGATTGGGGTAAACTTATTCGGGCTGTGGTGGATGGAAAGCCTCGCTCAACCACCGCAATCAGTTGTTGTTGTCAGATGAACAATTCTGGTGTTCAATTGTGCGTGATTTTTTACTTTTATGATAAATCGATCGATGGTAGCATTTCATACACAATGGTAAATTTTGCCTCCCACCTTTATTCCACTACATTTGGCTCCGTGGACAGAATACGTTTGATTCTCGAGGGGTGTGGAGTTTCGACTTGCGTTTGGTGCGACAAAGGTCTCCTATCCTATAGCGGTTAAATTACACAGTAAAATGCAAACAATTAGTATTCCTTCATTACCAATCGTTCGACAGATGTGAACTCAACCTGCATTCTTTACACCCGTTTGAACATACAGTCGGCATGGTAGATCTATTCAAAGTTTCTACTCCATGAATTCCGTCTCGCAGAGGATTGTATACTATTTGTGGATCAGTTTACCAAGATATGGCTGTTAATGCATTTTATTAACTTGCTGGTACCACATGTGACACGTGGATAGAGACTAAAATGCTGGAATATGCCGCAATGCATCAATGCAGATTTGTAAGACACCGAACAGTAATGGGAAATTTGGAATTTGTAAATGAGAGTTTAGTAGCCTGATATGTACTTGATAAGGCACGTTTTTTCATTTATCTTTAATCGCCGCAACTACCGTATACAGTTAGTTTCAGATAGTTCTGATCAATCTTTTACACCTTGTGGTTCATTTCTCCGATTGTCCAGACCTTGATCGCCTTTATGATCTATAGCGTTATAGATCCTTGTAACTGTGAAAACAACCTCAACGATATGGTATTACGCCACAAAAACACTTAAAATTGGCAACTGAATAATCATAATGTTCCGGTCACAGAATGAAATGGTGATTGATAAGTTTGTTCATTTATTTCCTCCGTGTCCCCACTAAACTTACTTTTACCCCCCGAGCGATCACTGGAACCATGAGTAAATCGAGGAACGGCCATGAGCTCGTAATTTGTCGAAATCTATAAATAAGAGTAAAAGCATGGGACATTTAATATGATCACAAATGCTACTTTCTCAATAAAAATAACCTAATTTTAATCCTTTAAGACGCTCAAATAATACGTTAACTTCTTATATACACACACGGTGATCTGCTAAATATAAATAGATTTGTACAAGATATTAAGTTATTACTCATTATGTTCACAACAGTAGTCAATCGGGTTTCACTTGATCTCTACCGTGTAATCATTCTCTCCAAAAAGCATTCTTTTTGAAATAGATTGGATTGCCCTGAGCCGGTATTAGAAGCGATGCGACAACGAGGGAAGACAATGCATAACTCCGGGGCCCATCTTTGGATTTAACCGGTAGCCAAAACAATCACATGCTTCTGATAAAATACTTCCAATTGTTAATATCGGGAAAATAACAGACCTAACAGGAATATTGACATTGTCTGATGAGGTTATTTGTATCAGAAGTTAGCATTGTTTATCTCCTCGACATATATATATATATAAAGTTTACCACTTGTAAGACAACTTTGGAGGTAAACTTTGCTGTTCGGTCATTCGTTGGCGATTATCAACTGCAAGTGAAGAGGGCCTACAAACCCGAGGCACAGCCGATGCAAACAGCTTACGAACTACCCGAAACTATGGACTTCTGACCACATTTGAAGGGCGCACATTTCAAAAAATCGAAAAGAAGACTGGTGATCTGGTGATCGGCACTAATACTCCGGAAGCACATGGGGTGCAAGATCAACGTATCGGAACGTCCCGACAACCACACGCTGTGAAAACAGCTCTAGGATGGGTACTGCTCGGGCCCGCGAGAGGGAACATATCTTCCCCAAGATCCATCAGTTGTCTTGCTCCTGAATATAAGGCTCCGATAAGCTTCCTTTGGCACATAAAGAACGATTGCTTTATATTGAATGTTCCTAATCGTCCGGCTACTAGAAGAGGTGTGCATTACCGCACCGCTCCGCTATATGATCCACTCAGATTTATTGCTGCATTGCTTCTCCGACCGAAATGCACTCTACCAGAGCTACGCGAGAGTAACTATTTTGTATAAACCAGCTTACGAACGTATCCGATCAGTTTGGGAGAAGTGAAAAACTAGAGGGAACCGAGGGGAGCAGACTTTGTCCGAAGCGTCCTTTATCACCTACCTAACAGAAGTCGAACGCATCCTGAATAACCGTCTTCTAATCCCCGTATATGAAGACCCAGACACCCCGAGAGCTCTTTCACTTAGCTGCTTGCTGTTACTGAGGGAACAAAACGATATTATCGAAACCGAAGTGTACCTACGCGATTGTTATACTCGTCAGCGGAGGCAAAGCCAGCTCCTCACAGACATTTGTGACACTGCACAGTGGAGTACCTGCCCCTGTTGAATACTCGGAACAAATGGAGACAAGGTCGTAGAAACCTACGGACAAGAGATTTGGTCCTTATACAAGATGAGAATCGACCTCGCGGGACGTAGTCAAAAGGTGTAGTAACGAAGGTTCAGATGGGAGGGTACGACAGGCGACCGTGAGATTTCCGAAAAGACATGTTCAGCGAGACATTCAGAAATTGTGTTTGCTAGGAGGGGCCGACGACCAATAGGATAACCACTTGAGAGTATGATGTCTTCCATTTCGGTTTCTGCGATTGTGACAAGAGTAGATAGTACCATTTTCAAATGTGACCGTCCTGAGGGCGCGTGTCGCGAGTGGAGTCATAGTAAAAGCCGTGCCGGCTTTGAGGGGCGGCGTTGAATCTGTTTTACCTGTTCCTCCCAATGTTCCCAGTCTGTGTTGCTCTCGGCCGCTTATTTATCGATTCGACTTTGATCCACAGTAGCTTATCTTTACGTGAGCTTATCTATGCGCCCACGTTTTGACCACTTTACTCGATTCCTTGTCCCCCTAGCATCCCACCTCCCCTATGTCTGTAGCCCCT